TTTCAGAAATCTGTTATTCATCTGCTCTCAGAAATAATACTAAAAGTATGGTACCTGGGCAAAGAAATTAGGTCCTCTCTACTTTTCCAACTGCAATAGCACATCCAGTTCAGCTACATTTCAAGAAGCACATTCACTAACTGATGTGAAAAAAACGAATGTCATATCATCTTCATCTCTGACACACAACTTAAAAATGACATGATAGAGATTTTTAAATATTTGCAAAGATACGTTATATGGGTGAGGAATTAGAATTTTTTTCTTTTTGACCTTTATGTTTTCTAAAGGGTAGAAACTCAACTGAGGACAGTTCAGCTCAGTCTGGAAAAAAGCTTTCTAACAATATGCCCTTGTTAGAGTTATCCAATCAGAAATTATGCAATATCTCTATTTGGTTTTGGAGAGCCTTCCTGTTTACATGAACCTTCCAACTTTGAGCTACTAGATCAGTGTCCATAAAGGCTAAATCCATATGCTGCATTCCTTTTTTCCACCAGTGGCAGTAGCCCAGTACCCTGAGCAGAGTAGGACCATTAACAAACATGTATTGAACATGTGACTGTTAATTACATTTCTGAATTGCAACAATAAACCAAAGGCCATGTCTGCAATGCAGAGTGAAAGTAGGCATTCATACCAATTCAGATTTATTTTTCACTTGACTTAAAATATACAATTGCTAAGCCAAAATTTATTTTGCTTCAAATTATCTTAGTACTACAATTTCTTATTTACATTCTCACCTGTCTTGAAGGCAGTTATATAAACACACATCTCCCTCCATTTCTTCATACCCTGTAGAACACAAGACCTCTAGATCTCCCTTTCTTGGCCACCTTCTTTGTAAGACCACCCAAGTGTTCAGCCCCAGCTGGCTGCAGAAGGACTTCACTGTTCATTTCACTGCAGCCCTTACTGCCCTCCACAGATCACCATGACTAATCAGGTGGTATGACAGTCTGCACCAATCATTAAGATGACCCAAATTAGCATCCTGGCCATGTCACAGTACATTCTTTCCACATTTACAGTCATGGCCTAAGAGTGAAGCAGAAACTTGGATGTGCTTATTTGTGCTTGCCTTGTAACATGCATTACAATTGTCATAAGCTGCTTCGGTGCTTTAAATCTGTAAATAAGAATAATCTGCCCATTATTGAACCAGAATTGAGATCTGAGGATAAAGGAGAAAGTGTAGATGCCTTAGCATTTCCTCTCATTTGCCATTTTCTTTCACAGTTGTAGTACAAAGCATCTTAGCACAACACATTCCCCACTTTTTTGCTTAGAAGGGATAATTAATCAGAATGTTTTTCTATCATGAGCAGAGAAACAAGTCTTCCCTAGCCAGGTGAAGAAGGTTTTACAGGCTATATATTCATTACAGGAATCTTGCAATCCAGTTTCTTAGAGTACACAGGTCAGTGGAACTCATTTCTTCATAAGACACAGGCAACCTTATTTTAATCACAACTGGAATTGTTGGCACCTTGCACTGCCTGGTGTAAATTATCCCCAAAATATTTGCATTCTTGATAGCCATTTTTGAACAATGCATTTAATAAGTAGAGGGTCCTATTACCTGCTAAATGTTAGCATAAATTAACAATCCATTATGCACAATAAGTTTTATAAAACATTTACAGATAGAGATCATGTTTAATTAAAATTTACTTGCATATGAAAGCCAAGTGCACTAATGATCACAATGACCTTTTATTACCTGCAGTCCCTTGTTTTGGCTGGATGATTGACAGCTTGCTGTTTGGCTACCATGTTGAATTTCAGCTGACAAGACTTTTCATTTTAACTCAATTTGCCCGCCTATCACAAGCTGGTGGCAGGCCAGACCCAAGTCACCCAGCTTTGCCTCAGCAGCTTGCTCTAGTTCTCATTAGTACGCATTTATTCAGTGGAAATTGGAAGACAAATGCTTGAAGGCATGTGAACTAAGTATAGCAAATTAGGTTTAAAGACTGAATATTTATAAGTATATGGAAAGTTTTTTTTTTTTTTAATTCTAGAGCGAATTGAGAACTGAGTGCTAGCTTTGGTATAAAAGAAACGAAGATAGAAGGGGGAAGGAAGATTCTAAGAATAACAATACTATAAGCTTTTTCTTTCCATTTTGGAAATATGTAAAATCTCTCTGACAACACCTTATCAAATACCAACCTGGCCTCTCTTTCATGGAGTGCTTGCACAATGAAGTTTAGCACCTCGTGTGTGAGAAGGGGGGAAAAATGAGGGTCATGTTCATTTGTTGCTTGGTTATCCCTTGGTATGTTTTAAATTGCCTTGTTTGTTCGGCACTAGCACAGAAACAGATGTTGCTCTACCGTGCAGGATAATTTACTGTACCTCCTGGTGCAGCGTGGAAGTCCTCCCAGGGCCCAGCTGGTCTGTCAGTGGCACTGGCTGGTGTCTGCTCAACTATGACAACTACAAGTAGAGGCTGCAATTTTTTTCATTGTGCAGTTGTCATTCTTCTCAACATATAGCTCTGCCTGCATTCTTACTCGGGCTGGTGGAAAAGCTGCTGGCTTTTGTGTCTGTATGTTGAAACAGAGTCACAGAAGCTCCACTACCCATTGTTGATAATAATGCAGCTCATTACTACTGGCGTCTACTGATCATCAGCATGATGGCTCGGAGCGTGAGCCAACCTCGTTGCGCACACATAACTGGTACTGGAAGGTAAAAGAGATTTGTCATTTACGATGTGACCGCTAAGCCACACTTTGTGCTCCATTATTGTGATTAACTTCTGCCGAAGATAAGCTTGCCCAGTTGTCATTTGTGCTACTGCAGTGGGCACAAGCTGCCATGCTTCCCTCAAGCACGTCGGCCAATCAGCTAGTACCATGTGATTTGGACTATTAAATACCTGCCTTGTCACAGAGACAACCCACAACGATCTTGCCTTGGTATTTCTTCTTCCCACACCCCTACTGGACTTGTTAGGCGAACAACACTGCGATGTATGTCACCTGCATTCCACACCACAAGCTAAAATGATGTTGTGACGTTGTTGATCCGAGAGAGCCAGGAGCAGAGCATGGGAAGCCAGCCCTCGCTTTTCACCACAGAAATGTTAGTCACTGGTGTCCAGCCAGCTGAGATCCATTGTGTCAGGTGCCTTGTGGGCTATCTGTGCCTTGTGGCTGTGTTTGAAAACCAAAGTTCTTTTCTGGCCTCATCGCCAACAAAATGATTTGACTCTGCTTGATTATAATAACGAAGGGAATCCAAAAAAATATGCACAGCCTCACTGTACGTCAAATTGAATCACCACACTGGCCACGCAGAACTGACCGCAGCCTCATTTCTTTAGACAAATGCATATTTAGGGAAAAGCCTCCTGGGAGAAGCTACCCAAATCCCCTTTAGATCCCTATGCAAGCTGTGCATTATTTGAATTTTAGTAAATAACACTAATTTTTATTTTCTGGCTGACCCAAGCCCTTACCGACTGACCTGTTTCTATGATCTAATAATTGGGTACTCTATGTTTCAGGGGTTTGCTGAACACTAACAAACTGGTGTGTGTGTATGTGTGTCTAAATTGCAAAGCATGAACACAGCCATTTATTACCATGTGAAGGGGGGAAGAAACTCAATTTGAAGTTCTTTTTCACATTGCTGATTAGAAAGAATCAACCTTTATATTCTAGGACCCATTCACGCTGGTGAAAACATAGTCAGTTTTGATTATGAAGGCAGAGATGCAGACCTAGACAGGAGCTACATGCTGATATGCATGCTATCAGAATGATTTATGCAAATTATGCATATTATTCCCAAAGGAATTCCTCCTCAAACTGCCAGGATAAATTGCCGGAAATTAGCCATAAAATCTGTCGTGCTAGGAGCAAAAGGTGAAGGCCACTGGGAAAGCAAGGACATTCAGCTTCTGGAATCTTCCAGATTATGATGGTGGCTTATTTTCCTTGAATACTGAGGGAAATATGGTTTTCTTCTGAATCCTATAAAAGTATTTTCTTTTTGAAATTTTTCTAGCAAATGCTGGCTCACATTTTATTTACAGCTAGCATAAAAGAAATTAAGTGTTGAGCTGTCTCAGAAAGCACTATTACAATTACTTTACTATTAACTGCCTAAGTGGTTATTAAATACCTAAGCCTGGTTTCATAGGCACTGCTGATGTGAAGGTTGGTGAGATAAGCTACCAGATACGTGCTTTAACAGGGATACTGTTTTAATTTACATTGTGCACACTTATAACACAACATTCATCTCTGCAAACCATTCTTTCTGACAAAAATCCTAATTAATGACTTTCTGCCCAAGAACAGCACTGTTGGCCTGTCTGTGAAATGCCCCCAAGTTGTGTAGGTGGGGTCACTTCTGCCTTACCCCTCCCCCCCTCACTTTCACCTTCCTAAGTAACCACCAAGGCTCCCTTTTGGTGCTCAATAGGTGTGTTTAGGAAAGGATTTCCTTCTCAATGCTAGTAGTGATGAGCTCAGACAAATTGAGAACATTTTTCAGAACAGTCATGTTGTATTTTTTTTGACTATTGTGAAAATTTCTCTAACACAAGAAAAAAGGGGTGAATAGGCTAGCAAAATTTGCATATCCAGCAATATTTTCACAAAATAATTAAAAAGCAATTAAAGAATATTCAATAAAATGCTAAATTGAATATGTAACCCAGTATTCTAACTTTAAGATTCTACCACATTGGCTTAAATTTTTTTTTTGGACTGGAAGATTTTTTTCTTAATTTATTTTCTTACATCATTGGTAATTTTTGAACAGTATGTGATTTCTCCCCTCAGCTGTAGAACCCATAAATCTCCCGCCACCACGGCACCTGTGAACCATCTTATGCTCTTCCCTCACCTGTTTTAACCCCTCACCTCCCCTCCCCTGCTGAATGCCTCAGATCTATGGTCAGCTTGCAAGTTTTGATTTTTCCTAATCCTTTGTTAGAATAGTCATGTTTTAATAAGCTGTTTGCTTGTTTCCTTCAGAAAGCACTGTAATGGAGGTTTTACGACTATCCTCATTTTCAAGCATCGTGCGTTGTGTTCTTGAAGATATGACTCTACATTCAGAGACTGGAGACTACCACCTACGAAAGGGAGACTTGCTAGCCATCTTTCCTGCAATGATACACAGTGACCCTGAAATCTATGATGCTCCAATGGTAAATAAGCTCATGCCAGTCATTGCTACTTAGGTACTCCAAGCATATTCCTCTTCCTCATGAGCTGATTCTGTCTCTCCCTTTGTCACCTTTTTCCAGAAGGGACTTGCAACAGCCCAGTGACTTCTGTTTTCCCTTCCAATGGGAAAAATTTCCTATTAATGGGAGGGTTTCCATGAATTATTTCTTCCAATGGTTTTATGACCTGTGAATAGAATACAGTGGTGACACTAAATGCTAGTTTCCTCAAATGAAATAGACTTTGTACCTTGGACACTTAACCTTTAATCCAAAATTACACAGAAAATTTTTTTTAATTTATTTATTTATGCATACAAGAGCTGGGGTACAGGCCAGAGGTGCAGGGGGTGAGAGGATGCACCAGAGACAGAGTGGGGAACAGAACAGGCAGAATGACTGAAATACATTGCTGAGGGGAACAGCAGGTGAGGCAGGAGAGGTCGGCTGTGCCATGTGGGTTGCTCCCTGGCCGGTGTGGTGCTTAACCCCTTGCGCCAGCAGGGAGGCCCTACACAGAGAATTTTTGACAACGTGGAGGGCTAGCTAGTGACAGGTAGGTGCCTTAGAGAATAAATAATGATAACTATTTTGCAAATTATTTCCAGAGTGAGCCTGACTGTCCCAAAGTCAAGTACCACCAGAGCATAGAAAAGCCCATATACTTTTCACCACTTACTAAATCTGTGTGCCCCTTCTTGATCAATTAGGATGGTATTATGAACTTGAGATTATAAAGCTGCTGCTCACGGGTGAAGCTCTGAGGGTAATTGTGTCATCTCCTTGTATTTTTTTCTGAAGCTGGAGTTAATGAATATCAAAGGCTGGAAATTAATCCACCCTGGTTCATCCCTTAATACTACTTCAGAGGTTCATCACCTGAATGCAAATTGAATGCAGTCATATTCTGCCAGGGCTTCTCATGAAGTAATGTTGTTGCTGCAGTAGTTTTGTATATTTTTGTATATAAAATGCCATTTTTCAAAGGAAAACTCCTGTGCTCTCTTTCAGCAGTTCATAGATAATCCACTTTTTAACCCACCAGTTTCAAAGTACATGTTTTGCAGTCAGGCTGGATTAAAATATACTGTTTAGTTTTGGGAATTAGTAAGAGATTTTTAAATACAATAAGATAGTTTGCATTTATTCAGCAAAGGCAGTATTTCTTAAGTAAGGGGAGAATATACATATTTATGTGTTTCAGAAGAAGAGACATTATATGAATGATGGTAGCAAATTAGAGATAGGATATTAGTGAATAAATGAATATTCTACAGACAACAGCTTTACTGCCATATCTGTCTATATCAAAAGCTCACACATAAGTAGATATTCAATAAATAGGGTAAATAAATAATATTTGAAAAATATTAAAAAATGTAAAAGTTTCATTTTACCTACAATTTTTATTTATTTAACTTCTGCTTGTTATTTTCATTGTGGTTATCCCACTAATCATTAAATTTATTATTCATGTTATAGTAGTAAAATCAATGTTGTGGCTATCAGTAAATACACAATAAGTTTTTACCAAATTACTATCCTTTTTATAGTACTATTCTTTGGGCTCCTGACCCTATGAAAGAAAAAGTCATGAGTTAGACTTGTAGGAATTTAAAAATCAAATTTAACATTGAAACTCTGTTGGTTTACATTGTTTCTTTGAATACTACATAGCCATGCCCAAACTGCATAATTAAATTGACTGATTGTTTTAAAAGATTTATTCTGTTATTTATTTATGTGTACAAGAACTGGGGTATAGATCAGAGGTGTGGGAGTGGTGAGAGGATTCACCAGAGACAAAGTGGGGAGCAGAACAGGCAGATCTACTGAAGTACACTGCAAAGGGAAGAAGTGGGTGAGACAGGAGAGGTCTGCTGCACCATGTGGGTTAGCTCCCTGGCCAGGGATAAACTCAGGTCATAGTGGTGCTAGTTCTGAGACTTAACCCTTAGGCCACCAGGAAGACCCTAAAATTGACTGATTTTAATAGTAATCAGTAAGCAGAATGCTCCTATTAAATCTGTGGAAGAACAATATTCTTTTGGAAGAATTGCAATATTATAAATATTATAAATGCTTATTTCATAAATATTTAATATTTATAAAATAAATGGTTATTTTGCATCAATAGAATAGTTCTAACTCTGTTTCTTACTAGATTTAACATTAGCAAATTATACCTGATTAATATTAAATATTAAAATTAACTAGATCTCCTTTTTCACTAGTTTTATATTCTTGAAATCAGTTATGGTATACTGATAACTCTTGGCACAGGAAAAAATTATATAATTCAGAATCATTTATTTATGATTTGGCAAGGGCATATGTAATCATTCTATAATAACTTACCACTGTCAAGCATATAGACTACTTTTATTCTTAACAACTAAGGATGCCAATAAGGAGATGCTGATAGACAGATGCCCATCCCACACCAGCACATTTTGACAGTTAAGAAGAGAGGAAAATGATATCCTTGGCCATTGGTCATTGAGAGCACTGGCTCAGGAGCCCATGAGAAGGACATCTTTCCACCTTTCTGTCTTGTACCTCATAGAACTTGAATAGGAAGTCCAGGTCTTAGATATAGAAAACAGATAACAATGGTTAGGTCAAAGACATGAAGATAACTAACTCCAGATATAGGTGTAGTTATTCTTGGAGAACACAGAGACTGGGGCCTCCCTGGTGGCACTATGGCACTATGAAGCTGTCCCCACCCACTGCAGCATGAGTTCGATCCCCAGCCAGGGAGGTGACCCACATGGCGCAGCAGACCTCTCCTGTCTCGCCTGCTGCTCCCCTCAATTCACCTGTTCTCCCTACTCTGTCTCTGGTGAACCCTCTCACCGCCCCCCCCCACACCTCTGGCCTGTACCCCAGCTCTTGTATGCATAAATAAATAAATCTTAAAAAAAAAAAAACACAGAGACTGGAAAATCTTATCAGAACATAGGTTCTCCCAACCCAATAAGACATGGCTTCAGGCTATTCAAGCCCAAGAGATTCTACAATATTACATTCCAAAACCAGACCATGATCTTCCTTCACACATCTCTCTATTTCTGGAATATCCTTCCTCACTTGTCACCCAAGAGGTTCACCTCTTCTTTGACAATGTTTCTGATTCCCACTTCATTCCCCAAAATCATTGCCCACACTGTGGCCTGTGTGTACCTTTGTTACGGTGCAAGCACACAGTGTTTTGCAATTGCTTGTTTACCTGTCTGTTCTCCCACATGCTCTAAGCTCCAGAAGGGAAAGACCCTGTCATGGCCTTCTCTGTGTTCTCAGTGCCTGGCACGCGGGAGAGTATCCATTGAAGGTGAATAAATAAGGGGATGATGGAATGAATGAAGGGAATGAAAGTGAAAATACGCTTCAGTTAATATTTTAATTCAGGATAAATATTCCATATTCATATATGTACTGCACCTAAATACATCAAATCAATGAAGTAACATGTACAAATATGATAGTAATTCTGGGGGAGTAAGAACTATGGTGAAAGGAGAACCGTGGAACATCTAAATGAGACCAGCTGGCTATTTCTGAACCAACACTTAATACCTGTAAGTATCTGGACCTGGTGTGACCCAAATAATTTTTATTCCTTTTAAATATTAAGAAAAAAACACAGATTTCTGGGTGATGCTAAGTTTTTAAATGTTTGGGAAAATAAAGTTTAAAACATAATGGAGGCTAGACAGAAGGTGTTTGGTACCAAATTGGACCTATAAGCTACCTGGATGCAACCTCTGTTAAGAATAATTATTTTCCTGAATCTCAGTTGCTTAATTTATTGTAATGTTAAACACTCAGGTGGTTCTTGCCTATGTGGAAAGCAAATTGTCAAGTGAAATTTAAACTAATGCGGGAGAACAAAGGAAACAACTCATTCCAATTCCTTCTTTTTCTTTATTGGTCTAAATGCTATCAGAGAAAATCTAATTAATCTGTCTGTTAAAAAGGACTGGAGAGCTTTTTAAATTTTTCTGAAAACCCCCTCAAATTTTTGTTTATCGTCACCGAGAATTCCAGCACCTGGCTCACAAATAATCAGTAAATGATGATGATTTCTTTTCGGCCAAAATGCAGTCTCCAAAACTGAAGCAGTGGAGAAGAACAAATCTATTTTTATTTCAGGAAAATGCAAATGAAAACTGCAAGGATATATGGTCTTACACCTGTATGACCCATATTAAAATGACCAGAATTAACAAATGCAGGCAATGGTATGGAGAAAAAGGAACCCTTATATACTGCTGGTGGGAATGTAGACTGGTTTAGCCCTTATGGATCTGCCATGTGACCCAGCAATTCTGCTCCTTAGGTATCTACCCAAAGAACACAAAAACACTAATTTCAGAGGAAACGGTATTCCTATGTTCATTGTAACACTATTTACAATAGCCATGATATGGAAGAGCAGATCTATTGGTTAATCTTTCTATGGCCAGTGCTTAGGTACAAAGTTAAGCATGGGACACTGTTGCTCTATAAGAAAGAAACAGCAAAAACATTTAAGAGGATAACACATTATCAGAAGCTCCCTGTAGAAAGGGCACAGTGAAATGACCCAATAATTCTAAAGCCATCAGAGTCAAAAGCGCCGATATTGAAAGGTCTTACTTTCTAACAATATCACACAAATTTACCCGCTATGCCTTTTAGAGGCATAGGGATTATAAAGTGATAAATTAACTTAAAAGTCCTTGGAAACATTCTAAATCTCTATAAAAATTGTCGTGTCAATATTATTTTGGTTATCATCACTGTTCTTAGAATATACTAGTTATTGCCACATGAACGGTCTAGAAGGTAGTAATTATGCTTAGTGAATTAAGTCAGTCAGAAAAAGCCCAGTATCGCATGATTTCACTCACATGTTATATAGAGAAGTAAACAAATTACCTGAATAGAATAAACACTTTGATTTTAAAGCCAAATAGTGGCAACCAGAAAGGGAGGAA